GTATGTCTTTTGATATATTGCATACGTGCATATGTATGTTTGTGCATAAATATGTAAATGTGGTTATTAGAGTGCCAGATATTGCATATAGATAGTCTATTTCGCTATTTCGCTGTACAAACTGTAATTTTAGCTACATTTAGCATTTTGGAATTAAACATCGTCATATAGATGCACTAGAACAATAATTACTATTTCCCTTGTTCGTCTACAATTTCGGATTAAATATTCAAAATTATTAAGAGATAATAAAAACTAGGTGTAAATTATATGTAATAAATTTTCCGACATGTCGGTAAGTTGCATTTTCAAGTATCAGTGGGATATTTTGTATATTTTAAGCGAAACTACAAGGATTACATCAAGTATACATTATCCATGTTTTTCCTAAATTTCTCGCACCCTGAGAAGTTTTACTTCAATTTTATAATTTCTATACCTAAAATACGCTTCTGGTTTTGACATATCCAAATTACAACATCGTACCCTGAGAAATTTTTGAAAACTAATATTTATTTTTTTCCTTTACAGCCTTTAGATAGAGATCAGCCCAACGGACGACCCCAGTGGCGTTTCACAGTTTTTGCCCAGGACGAGGGGGGTGAAGGACTTGTTGGCTATGCTGATGTCCAAGTTAATCTCAAGGATATCAATGATAATGCTCCTATATTTCCACAAGGTAAATTGATATTGGATATGGAAAATGTAGTCTAGATTGTTATGTATATGTGTATTACTTTTGTTTGTGATTTGTAACTTTTAAATTATTTGATTGATATGAATAATGTGTATGAAGGATCCATACAAAATTAAACGATAAACAACATTGTCTAACATCACATTGCCCTACAACAATTCGGTATACTTTTAAATTGCAAAATAAAACACTAATCATCTATTTGTCATCTACTTGGCTCCGTTATATTGTCGTCTGTATAAATAGATTTGATAAATATTGATAAAATCAGTTTTAAAATTCTTATTATTAAACTAATTGTAGTATATTGTTGTAATTTAAGTATGTTAATTTTTAGTATGTCTTTTTTGTTATTTATTAAAAAAATTCAGTTACACAATGGGAAAAAATTCATAAAATTACGATCGTCTGAAAAAAGTTCAGTATTGTCGCCTCACAAATAGAATTTTGAAATCAATGTTCAACATTTTTTTTAAATTAAGCTAATGATAGCAGATAGTTACATTTTAAGTATGTTAATCTCTAGTATATTTATTTTGATATTTGTTAAGAAAAATTACTTTCATAATAGAAAAAATTATATTAAACGATGATTCAGCAGAAAACGTTCACGATATTGTAATCAGGACAACTAGATTTGATATTTGATAAAATCAGCTTTTAACAATTTTTTAAAATTAAACTATTTGTAGTAAACTGTTGAAAATTTAGTATAATAATCTTTAATATGTTTACTTTGTTATTTAATAAGAAAAATTATTCGGTTAACAGAATTTTATTTTTCAATCGACGATTGAGTGGAAAAAGATCACAATATTTTCATATGGTACAATTAGATTTTGCAACAAATTTTGAAGAATTCTTAAAACTTGCTCGCGGTAAATTGTTGTGAATTTAGCAAGTTATTTCTTAATATGTAATCCAAGAATATATTCGAAAAAAATTGCATATAGAGGTATAAAAAAAATTGAAAGAGTACAATATTGTCTAACAAAATAAAACACTAATCATCTATTTGTCACTTATTAGGCCTTATTAGATGCATCACTTGTGTATATCCTGTATAACTCTAAAACCATTTGATAAATATGAATGATGTGTATGACAGATTTATACGCAAATGTACAGTCTATAATATTGTCTAACATAATATAATCCTCCAACAACTCAGTATACTCCTACATTGCAAAATAAATTTTTCATTATCTAGATATACTTAAGATTTTACATAAGAAGTGTATACTTAGATTTAATTTGTGCATTGAGTTCACCTATCACCATCACCTATAACTTTCAAACCATTCGATTAATATGAATGATATGTATGACAGATTTATACACAAATGTACAGTCTACAATATTGTCTAACAGTATACAACCCTCCAACAACTCGGTATACACTTAAATTGCAAAATAAAATACCCATCATCTATTTGTGATCTATTTGGCTTTGTTAGGTGCATCATTTTTGTATATCACCTGTAACTCTTAAACTATTTGATTAATATGAATGATGTGTATGACAGATTTATACACAAGTGTACAGTCTACAATATTGTCTAACATTATATAACCCTACAACAACTCGGTATACTCCTAAGTTGCAAAAGAAAGTTCTTAACATCTATTTGTGATCTACTTGGCTCTGCTAGGTGCATCACTTTGTATATCCTCTATAACTCCTAAACCATTTGATTTATATAATGATGTGTATGACAAATTTATACACAATTATACAATCTTCAATATTGTCTAACATTATATTGCCCTACAACAACTCGGTATACTCTTAAAATGCAAAATAAAAACACTAATCATATATTTGTGATTTACTTGGCTGTGTTAGGTGCATTACTTTTGTATATCCTCTATAACTCTTAAACCATTTGTTTAATATCAATTATGTATTCAAAAATTGTTACAGAATTGAATCGTCTATAATATTGTCTAACGTCATATGGTCTTACAACAACTCGGTATACTCCTAAATTGCAAAATAAATTTTGCATCATCCAGATATACTTAAGATTTTACATAAGAAGAGTATACTTAGATTTAATTTGTGCATTGAGTTAGTTTATTACCTATAACTTTCAAACCATTCGATTAATATGAATGATGTGTATGACAGATTTATACACAAATGTACAGTCTATAATATTGTCTAACATCATACAACCCTCCAACAACTCGGTATACACTTAATTGCAAGATAAAATACCCATCATCTATTTGTGATCTATTTGGCTTTGTTAGGTGCATCATTTTTGTATATCACCTGTAACTTCTAAACCATTCTATTGATATAAATGATGTGTATGACAGATTTATAAACAAATGTACAATCAATAACATTGTCTAACATCATATTGCCCTACAACAACTCGGTATACTCCCAAATTGCAAAATAAATTTTTCATTATCTAGATATACTTAAGATTTTACATAAGAAGTGTATACTTAGATTTAATTTGTGCATTGAGTTCACCTATCACCATCACCTATAACTTTCAAACCATTCGATTAATATGAATGATATGTATGACAGATTTATACACAAATGTACAGTCTACAATATTGTCTAACAGTATACAACCCTCCAACAACTCGGTATACACTTAAATTGCAAAATAAAATACCCATCATCTATTTGTGATCTATTTGGCTTTGTTAGGTGCATCATTTTTGTATATCACCTGTAACTCTTAAACTATTTGATTAATATGAATGATGTGTATGACAGATTTATACACAAGTGTACAGTCTACAATATTGTCTAACATTATATAATCCTCCAACAACTCAGTATACTCCTACATTGCAAAATAAATTTTTCATTATCTAGATATACTTAAGATTTTACATAAGAAGTGTATACTTAGATTTAATTTGTGCATTGAGTTCACCTATCACCATCACCTATAACTTTCAAACCATTCGATTAATATGAATGATATGTATGACAGATTTATACACAAATGTACAGTCTACAATATTGTCTAACAGTATACAACCCTCCAACAACTCGGTATACACTTAAATTGCAAAATAAAATACCCATCATCTATTTGTGATCTATTTGGCTTTGTTAGGTGCATCATTTTTGTATATCACCTGTAACTCTTAAACTATTTGATTAATATGAATGATGTGTATGACAGATTTATACACAAGTGTACAGTCTACAATATTGTCTAACATTATATAACCCTACAACAACTCGGTATACTCCTAAGTTGCAAAAGAAAGTTCTTAACATCTATTTGTGATCTACTTGGCTCTGCTAGGTGCATCACTTTTGTATATCCTCTATAACTCCTAAACCATTTGATTTATATAATTGATGTGTATGACAAATTTATACACAATTATACAATCTTCAATATTGTCTAACATTATATTGCCCTACAACAACTCGGTATACTCTTAAAATGCAAAATAAAACACTAATCATATATTTGTGATTTACTTGGCTGTGTTAGGTGCATTACTTTTGTATATCCTCTATAACTCTTAAACCATTTGTTTAATATCAATTATGTATTCAAAAAATTGTTACAGAATTGAATCGTCTATAATATTGTCTAACGTCATATGGTCTTACAACAACTCGGTATACTCCTAAATTGCAAAATAAATTTTGCATCATCCAGATATACTTAAGATTTTACATAAGAAGAGTATACTTAGATTTAATTTGTGCATTGAGTTAGTGTATTACCTATAACTTTCAAACCATTCGATTAATATGAATGATGTGTATGACAGATTTATACACAAATGTACAGTCTATAATATTGTCTAACATCATACAACCCTCCAACAACTCGGTATACACTTAAATTGCAAGATAAAATACCCATCATCTATTTGTGATCTATTTGGCTTTGTTAGGTGCATCATTTTTGTATATCACCTGTAACTTCTAAACCATTCTATTGATATAAATGATGTGTATGACAGATTTATAAACAAATGTACAATCAATAACATTGTCTAACATCATATTGCCCTACAACAACTCGGTATACTCCCAAATTGCAAAATAAATTTTTCATTATCTAGATATACTTAAGTCTTAAGATTTTACATAAGAAGAGTATACTTAGATTTAATTTGTGCATTGAGTTAGTGTATTACCTATAACTTTCAAACCATTCGATTAATATGAATGATGTGTATGAGAGATTTATACACAAATGTACAGTCTAGAATATTGTCTAACATCATATTGACCTACCGCAACTCGGTGTACTCTAAAATAGCAAAATAAAAGATTTTTTTTTTTTTTTTTTTTACCCAGGTGTGTACTTCGGCAACGTCACTGAAAATGGTACAGCTGGTATGGTGGTGATGACAATGTCTGCAGTCGATTATGATGATCCATCAGAAGGCACAAATGCCAGATTGGTGTATTCTATCGAAAAAAATGTCATTGAGGAAGAAACTGGTTCACCGATCTTCGAAATTGAGTCCGATACTGGAGTTATCAAGACTGCGGTAAGTTGACCGATGTTGATCTCACCAACTTCGAAAAATCAGATCAGAATTGACCATAATTTGCTCTAATTTATCTATTATTCCAGGTGTGTTGTCTGGATAGAGAAAGAACTCCTGATTATTCCATACAAGTGGTTGCAATGGACGGTGGAGGGTTAAAAGGGACAGGGACGGCTTCTATAAGGGTCAAAGATATAAACGACATGCCTCCACAATTTACCAAAGATGAATGGTTTACAGAAGTCGACGAAACTGATGGCACAAATCTCCCTGAAATGCCTATTTTGACGGTGACTGTCCATGATGAGGATGAAACCAACAAGTTCCAGTACAAGGTAAAGGATTTAGGATTTTATTTGGGATATTTTTTTGGTTTTTGTCAAATTACTCACAAATATCAGGGTAAAGCATCTTTTTTCGGTTAGATAGGGAGAAACTAGATACAATTTACTATGATTTCATGCTAACAGTTATATACACCCCGATATAAAAGTTTGGAATAAAACAACTTTGAATTCGGTCTTTCATTTTCTTTAGGATTCAATAGAAATTTCTGGACATTTTTTGGGTTTTTTTCTCACAAATTTCTCACAAATATCAAGGTAAAGCACCCCTCTTTTAAATAACTATATGTACCATTTTGCCTCAAAGCATAAAAACTTATGGCTTATTCGTTATTTGCAGTTTTTTTACTAGATGTTTCAACCTTCAGTGCTTAAGTTTGATTTAAATTATATTGCAGGCACTATCCATTTGAAAAAGATAATCACTGGCTCTTATTACAAAAATAGGAAATTAACTGCTAGGAAAAATTGTCAGTAATGGCTCAGTCCCTTAGATACAGTATTTATTTTTAAGTACATTTTTTGAGCAAATAATATAGTAATAAAAATTTTATATATTAGGTTGTCAAATATCTCCCTTCCGCTTTTTTGCTCTTGGTTTATAATACAAAAAGGCGGAAGGGAGATATTTGACAACCTTATATAATTTCTGCAAAAATTATTGAAGTAATTTTTGAATTAAATTTGAGACGTTAGATAGTAAAAAACTAGATAAAATTTACCATGCCAACAGTTATACGAGGTCTGTTCAAAAAGTACCCGGAATTTTCGTTTTTTCAAAAAAATATTTATTTATTCGTCTACATTAATGTGGTCCCCTTCAAAGTAGTCCCCCCCAGATATAATACACTTATGCCAGCGTTTTTTCCAATTTTCGAAGCACCCTTGATATTCACTTTTTGATATGTCCTTGAGCACTCTCAGCGATTTTCTTCAATCGAGGAAAACCGCCGTCCTTTCATGGGTCTCTTCAACTTTGGGAATAGGAAAAAGTCACACGGAGCCATATCTGGTGAATTTTTGCACTTTGCAACACTTTATTTCATTTTTTACGCAAAATTTAATACAAATTCTTTGACTTTTCAATTCTTCCATTGTAAAAATCGCCGAGCTCAGAAAAACACGTCGAACCTTAGCGACTACCACAGACAAAGTAAACAGTGAATATAGCTGAAAATTTCATCATACTTTAGGGGCATGTATACCAACACAATAAAAAAAAAATTTTGACAATCAGACACTCCAGACCCGCGAAATTTAATTATTAGTAATTCCGGGTACTTTTTGAACACACCTCGTATACACCCTGATATAAAAGTTTGGAATAAAACGACTTTGAATTCGACCTTTCATATTCTTTAGCATTTAATAGAAAATTTGGAACGTTTTTTGGTTTTTTGAAACCCTTTGTCAAAATACTCACAAATATCAGGGAAAAGCACCTCTTTTCAGTTAGACAGAGAAAAACTAGATAAAATTTACTATTATTCCATGCCAACAGTTATATACACTCCAATATAAAAGTTTGTAATAAAACGACTTTAAATTCGATCCTTCATTATTCTTTAGCAATAAATAGAAAAGTCGGGAAATTTTTTTTGGTTTTTGTCAAATATCTCACAAATATCAGGATAAAGCATCTCTATTCAGTTAGATAGGAAAAAACTAGATAAAATTTACTACGATTTCATGCCAACAGTTATACACACTCCAATATAAAAATTTGGAAGAAAACGACTTTGAATTCGATCTTTCATATTCCTTAGCATTTAATAGAAATTTCGGGACATTTTTAGCTTTTGTCAAATAACTCACAAATATCATGTGAAACTTGGTCATATTTTTCTTGTGGTTTTTAGGTTATCGACAACTCTGGTTACGGTGCTGATAAATTTACAATGGTACGCAATAATGATGGTACAGGATCCTTAAAAATCGTGCAACCCTTAGACTACGAAGACCAACTCCAGAGCAACGGTTTTAGATTCAGAATTCAAGTAAACGACAAAGGCGAAGACAATGATAACGACAAATACCACGTTGCATACTCATGGGTAAGTTTACCATTTATATACACCACAATTTATCATGCTACATTATCAATTATTCTTAGGTTGTGGTGAAACTCCGAGACATCAACGACAATCGTCCACAATTCGAAAGACCAAATATAGAAGTATCAGTTTACGAAAACGCAGACGTCGGCAAGGCTTTGGAAACCTTTAAGGCTACTGATCCTGACCAAGGTGGAAAAAGTAGAGTATCTTATGCAATTGATAGATCCTCAGACAGACGACGACAGTTTAGTATCAGCTCTGAAGGCACTGTTAGTATCCAAAGATCTCTGGATCGTGAGGAAACTCCCAGACACCAGGTATAATAAACTTGATACTAGGGTTTGTCGGTTTTCAAAAACCGGAAAATTGTGGAATTCGAAAACCGGTTTTTTAGTGAAAAAAGTCGGTTTTCACTGTATAAATGGAAAATATAGCCAAATATAAAAGATATATGAAAGCGTTTTGATTCTTGAAATCATAACGGTTCAATAGCATTTGATATATTATCAGTCTGCAATGGTTCCCAAAAAAATTTGTATGTATTAATTCAGATTTTTATACCAGTGTATATATTAATTTTAATCAATGTGACTTCTTCTTAAGTAACTTCCTCTACTCAAACTTGAAAAAAAGAGTTTTAAACCCTAGAAGCCATAAATTGAAGAACAAAAAACTTAGAATTGTTATATCAGGCTTCAAAAACAATTAAGCATAATTTGGTCGCAAGTAGGAGAGTATTTTCTAATTCAGGAAATTTTTTGAGTAAACAAAGGACACGTCTAAGTACAATTCGATAGAGGTTCCCAGTTTTTGAAATCATATTTTATTAAACAAAACAACAATTAGAATGTTTAAAATTAATTAATTAAAATTGCTCGGAACAGACGATACTCGAGGTTAACTTAATTATTTTTAAAACTAAAATTGATATTAACAAGTATGTTAATAGCAATTTTAGTGTCAATTTTTTTTATTTTGATGCATTTTTTTATTTAAAAATGTATTATTTTTATTTATTCGAAAACTTTCCTTTCACTATCATAAAAATATTTTCATTCTTATATGTGCCCATAATTATGAAAGTGGTCTAAATCAAAATTTAAAAAAAAATTAGTTTATCAGTTATTTCATACCACATTAGTTTAAACTAAATTTATTCAACGTAATTTTACGAAATTGTCAAAAATGAACCATTAGATAGTGGTTGTAATTTCAACATTATATAGAATTCATTTAGTGTTAATTATGAAAGTGGTCTAAGTCAAAAATTTAAAGAAATTATATAAACATCTTGAAAATTTTTGGTATCAGGTCATTCCTTTCTACCGAATGATCGTGATTTTGAGTTGATGGAAATAAAAATAAAAAAAAAAGAATTACTTATTAATAATTACTTAGAAAAACATAAAGATATTATGAGTTTACTATCGTACATCCCTCTAGTTTTTCAGGAACATTTTAAGAATCTTAAATACTCGAAATAATCATAAAAATGGATTGAAAAATAATTAATAAATGCTCACGAATTATTTCAATAAAATTATTGTTTCAAATGAAACTCAAAGTCCTTTATTGCTTTAAGTCATTTATAGGACATTCAGTTAATTTTGCAAATGGTCTAAGTCAATTCAAACTTTAAAAACAATATTATCGTATGAAATTCACACAAAATTTCATATTCATAATAAATTTCCATTAATTAAGACTAATAAAATTAAAAATTAAAATGTCGCATAATGTAAAAATATTTTTTAATTTATTCAAATGCAATTCATTAAATATCTTGAAACAAGAAATATATGACTTAATTTAATTAACTTAACCACTTTTATAATTATGGGCACTTATGTGAAAATGATGCATGAATAACGAATAATTATTTTCAAAGTTATTTAATCAAGATAAACTATTATTTTTTAGTTCTACTAATTAAAATTAAAATAGTTTTGTTTACTATCAATAAAATTGAACAATGAATAAATTCAGTCAAATTCTGCTCTAAATTACACCAAATTTGCGGATAAATTACAGAATATTCGAGCAAAAATTTATTTTCTATATAAAATTCAAAAACTGGTTAAAACCGGTTTTTTAGTAAAATTAAAATTCAAAAACCGGTTTTCTGAAATGTCGGTTTTTGTATAAACCCTACTTTAGAGACATAATTGTGTTTCCAGGACTTATGTTTGGAATGTGTTTTAGGTTAAAATCCTTGCAATTGATGATGGTGTTCCACCAAAAACGGCGACAGCAACTTTAACAGTAATTGTACAAGATATAAATGATAATGCACCGACGTTCTTGAAGGCATACCGTCCAGTTTTACCAGAACATGTGCCACCAAGAAAAGTTATCGAAATTTTAGCAACTGATGATGATGATAGATCCAAGAGTAATGGCCCACCGTTCCAATTTAGACTTGATCCTGGTGCAGATGATGTTATCAGGGCTTCCTTCAAAGTTGAACAAGATCAGAGTAAGTAGTAACTAGTGGTGTGTGGCATCGTGCCTTAAGGCAAATCTCCGGAACTTTCCGTACCGTAATGAAATATTCGAGAAATTTTAAACGCTTTCAATTATATTATTACTTTCATTATTTTTGCTATCTTGTTATATCCGAGCAAATCAAATGTAAATCATAAATCAATTATTACATTAACAATAGTCATTTCATTTCGAATTCAATTTAAAAAAAATAGTTGCCTAATTTGCACAAAATTGAAAAAGTGCTCCCATATAGTCACAGTCTAAACGCATTTGCAAATAATTCTGTGCGATATTTTCACTTATACTGCGCTTAGCTTGACGGCATTTTCACGTTTTTCAACAGTTTTTAGAAAATTCTAATTCTAAATCAGACAGTCTAAACGCACTTGGGTAAACATTTGTACCAGAGTGGCGCTTAGACTGTTCTTAGCCTGGGTAATTTTAAACTTTCCACAAATCGAAACTGAAAATGTTTACACTTTTTCACGTTTTGAAGGTTTCTGAACATTTTGGCATACCTCAGAAAAAATTGATGTGTGTGTGTATGTATGGATACAATTTTTCGGTCACCCGAATCAACCGATTGAAATGGTTCAAAAAACATTCGATTTCTATTGATAGGGAGATGTGCTGATTAGTTTTTGGCAAAGGCAGGTCTAGCAGTTATGGAGATATAGAGCAAAGAGTGCAGAAAATAGAAATCGAGTTTTTGAGAGAACGGAATATCGGATTTGAATGATCTAAAAAACATTCAATTAATAATGATTGGGAGAAGTGGTTATTAGTTTTTGGCAAAGGCAGGTCCAGCCATTTTGAAAATACGGAGCTAAATGTCCAAAAAATGCAGTTTTTGAGAGAACTAAGCGTCCGATTTGAATGTTTCAAAGAACTTTCTGTTCGTATTGACAAAACAATTGCTTTAGGATAAAAAATTATTACTTCTTTTTTTATTTTCCATACAATATTTTTGTAATTTTAGATTAAGAATTCAAAAAATTACCCCAGGATAAGCACAGTCTAAGCGCCATGAAAATACTAAATTCCGCATTTCAACTACGAATTATTCAAAATTTTAATATGCAAGTGTATATAACAGTTTCTACAAAATTTTAGTAAATTTTTATTTAGTTTTGTGTAGAGTGAACAAATTATAAAGTCTGAAATAAAATTTAACAGTTATTTATAGAAAACTAAGAAAATATCCTAAATCCATACATTGCAAAGTATGAAAATACTCCACGAATTAACTACGATTTGCTCAAAATTTCAATATAAAAGTGTATATAAATATTTTAACTAGATTTTAGTAAATTTTATCTGGTTTTCAAAAATCTAAACAAATTATAATGTCCGATAAGAAAATTAAAAGTTATTTAAAAAAAACGTAAAAAAATGTCCTAAATCAACAGGCAAACTGTTTATGTACTGGACCACTTTTCCAATTTTGTGAAGAAAACTATTGAAAAATGTGAAAATGCCGCCAAGCTAAGCACAGTACAAGTGAAAATGTCGCACAGAATTATTTGCAAATGCGTTTAGACTGTGACTATATAGGAGCACTTTTTCAATTTTGTGTAAATTGGGCAACTATTTTTTTTGAATGAAATTGAATTCGAAATGAAATGACTATTTTTAATGTAATAATTGATTTATGATTTACATTTGATTTGCTCGGATATAACAAGATAGCAAAAAAAATGAAAGTTACAGTATTTGTAATAATATATATGAAAATGTTTATAATGTCTCGAATATTTTATTGCGATACGGGAAGTTTAAGCAATTTGCCTTAAGGCACGATGCCATACAAAACCAGTTTATTATTATATTGTATGTATAATGTATTTATTTATTTACTTATTTTTTATTAATTTTACAAGCCGTCGGTATAATAATATTATAATAAGGCTTAAGTCAATATTTTGTAGGTTTAATATAATTTGATAAATTATTAGCTATTTTATTACTTATTTAATTATTATTTAATTTATTTCCTACGAACTTATTTATATTTAGTTAATTTTAATTATTTTTAAATATAACTAGTTTGTTTGTTGCAAGTATTTTTTTTTAAATTTAATAAGTACTTCAATAAGCTTTACAATACTTTTATAATATAATTATTTTATTTAACAAATTTTAGGTTATTTTATGATATTTTAACAAATTTAAGTGTCTTATATTATTGTTATTATTATTATTATTATTAATAATAATAATAATATTATCATTATTATTTTTACTATTATTAAGTATTTTTACAATATGTTTTTTTCTTTCACAAATTTTTAGGTATTTTGATGAAGGAAATATTTTGTTTCACAATTTTTTAAGTGTTTTTAAAATATAAGTTTTTGGTTAACTAATTATTAAGTATATTAACAATAACAGTCATATGAAAATAATAATCAGAGAAAAAAAAAATCAATATTTTGTTTCTCATTTTTTTTAAATTACAAGTTTTTGGTTAACTAATTATTAAGTATTTTAACAATAACAGTCATATGAAAATAATAATCAGAGAAAAAAAAATCAATATTTTTTTTCTCATTTTTTTAGTGTTTTTTAAATTACAAGTTTTTGGTTAACTAATTATTAAGTATTTTAACAATAACAGTCATATGAAAATAATAATCAGAGAAAAAAAAATCAATATTTTTTTTCTCATTTTTTTAGTGTTTTTAAATTACAAGTTTTTGGTTAACTAATTATTAAGTATTTTAACAATAACAGTCATATGAAAATAATAATCAGAGAAAAAAAAAATCAATATTTTGTTTCTCATTTTTTAGTGTTTTTTAAATTACAAGTTTTTGGTTAACTAATTATTAAGTATTTTAACAATAACAGTCATATGAAAATAATAATCAGAGAAAAAAAAATCAATATTTTGTTTCTCATTTTTTTAGTGTTTTTTAAATTACAAGTTTTTGGTTAACTAATTATTAAGTATTTTAACAATACCAGTCATATGAAAATAATAATCAGAGAAAAAAAAAATCAATATTTTGTTTCTCATTTTTTAGTGTTTTTTAAATTACAAGTTTTTGGTTAACTAATTATTAAGTATTTTAACAATAACAGTCATATGAAAATAATAATCAGAGAAAAAAAATCAATATTTTGTTTCTCATTTTTTTAGTGTTTTTTAAATTATAAATTTTTGGTTAACTAATTATTAAGTATTTTAACAATAACAGTCATAAAAAAAAACTAAAAACTAAGAAATAATAATAATAATAATAGTAATTTAGAAGTATTTTTACAACAGAAGTATTCAGTTTAACGAACAAATTATCTATTTTTTCCCCAGAGGGTGCCAACGGTGACGGTATGGCAATTGTGTCATCCCTAAGATCCTTCGACAGAGAACAACAAAAAGAATACTTAATTCCAATAGTGATCAAAGATCATGGTAACCCAGCAATGACTGGTACAAGCACTTGACAGTCGTCATTGGTGATGTAAATGACAACAAAATGCAACCTGGTTCCAAGGAAATCTTCGTCTACAACTACCAAGGACAGGCTCCTGAGACTGAAATTGGACGTGTATACGTTTACGATTTGGACGACTGGGATTTACCAGACAAAAAATTCTATTGGGAAGCTGTTGAGCACCCCAGATTCAAATTGAACGATGATACAGGGATGATTTACATGAAACCTGGTACCAAAGATGGACGTTACCAGCTAAGGTTTAGGGTTTATGATAGGAAACACACGCAAACGGATGTTCCAGCAAATGTTACAGTAGTTGTAAGGGAGTTACCGAGAAGGGCTGTGCTGAATTCGGGATCTGTGCGTTTTGAGGATTGACTGATGAAGATTTTATCAGGGTTTGGGATTATAGGACCCAAAGTCCACACCGAAGCAAAGCTGAAAGGTAACATATTCATTCCTCATTTATACCCTAGTCAAAATTAAGATTTCACCTTGAGGCAAATTGCTGGAACTTCCCGTACCGTAAATAAATATTCGAGATTTTAAAACGTTTTCAAATATATTATTACCTACAAATACTGTAACGTTCATTATTTTTCTATCTTTATATTTTACAAAAATGTACTTGATTTTTTTCTCATTATTTGGTATTTGATTTGAAGTATGCTAATTTTTGTAAGGTTTTATAATGCTAAAATTATTTTATTTCATGTGCATTTTTGCTTAATATTGTATTTAAATTAAATAAAACGTTAAAAAGTTCTACGATATAAATGAATACACATTGTGTAAACACTCTATGAAGTTTTCTGCAAATATCTCAAAATTTGTTTGAATATATATTAAGAATTATATATTTTTGAAAAGTAGATAAATTCTCTACAAATTTCACTATATAATTAACACAGTGTTAAAGTAAAATTTTGCGTAAAACTTGAGAGGGTAACAAGGCATGATAATTGTGTGCGCACTTTTATGGTTTTGTGTAAATATATCAAAATTTGGTTCGAACACATATTTAAATTATACATTTCCGAAAACCACATAAAATTCTCTACAAATTTTATAAGTTACACAATGTTGAAGTAAAATTTTGCATAAAATTACAACTAATTTATAATTTATAACTTTACAGTGAAACCTGACTTAATAGACATGATAATGGTGAACACTTATAAAGTTTATTGCAAATATATCAAAAATTTGTTCAAAAACATATTGAACAGTATACATTTCTAAAAACTACATAAATTTTCTACAAACATATTCATTCCTCATTTATACCTCAGTCAAATAAAAATTTCAGTTAGGAACTAGTGGTGTATAGCATCGTGCCTAAAGGAAAATTGCTGGAACTTACCGTACCGTAATGAAATATTTGAGACATTTTAAACGTTTTCAAATATATTATTACCTACAAATACTGTAACTTTCATTTTTTGCTATCTTTTTATATCTGAACAAATCAAATGTAAATTATAAATAAATCAATTTATCTCCAGAACATTAACAATGGTAATTTCTTTTCGAATTCAATTTTTAACAAAATAGTTGCCTAAAATGTACACAAAATATTATTGTTGAGTTATAAAGACGTCATCCTTTGAAAGGCCATAGATCAGGAATTTCGACTTTCCATCCAAATTGGATCAAAAAATGCAGAATTATGTCGTGCAGATTTTGATTAATTTTCGATAATTAAACTACAATCCGTAAAACTCTATTTTTTCAAAATTACTTGTAGAAGTCTACAAGTAATTTTGTAATAACCACAAAATGAATCTAGAATTTTTATAAATTAATAAACAAAATTAAGGGTTTTTATTTAAAGTTGACCATATAGAGCCACGTTATACTAGCAAATTATTGGTTAGTAAATTTTGAATAATTTTTATAATAAACTACTTCTCTTAGGCCTATAATTTTTTACCCAATAATTTACAAATGTCCAATTCACGCCTACACAAATTTTCATTAACAACTGTTAAAAAATAAACCAGAAAATTTGAACTAAAAGTTTCTAAACGTTAATGAAAATGTTTTAACTAGGCTTCTAATATTTTACACAAATTTACTACAATGCTTATTAAAAGTCTTCTGAAAGTTTCTTAAAAATAACTTAGTAAATAAACTAAAATATAAGGAATGTATCAAAAATTGACTAAAGGGACTTGTAATATCAACAAAGCAAAGCGTTATTATATTATTATAAATTAGTCCTTTTTCACAAGCCTCTAATATTTTACAGGATCACTCCTGAATATCCAATGTATAAATATACAAAATTTAAAAAAAATTACTTTATAAATAAACTAAAAAATTGACATTTATCTAAAAGTTTCCACAACTGATTACTAGGACCAATTCGCCCTATGCTATTTTATATAAATATTTTTTTATAACTAACTCATTTTTCATAGGCCTCTAATATTTTACAGAATCACTCTTAGATATTATTTTAAAAAATTTCAGAAGAAAAAAAATTTCAGTATTTTATTTACAAAATCTGTTCGCAAACTTTAACTAATATGCATTATGTTAATTCATGTTAATATTTTTTTCTAATTTTTTTTTCAAAAAATATTTTTGTAATTTTGGATTAAAAATTCAAAAAAATACTTAGTCTAAGCACAGTCTAAGCGCCACTCTGGTACAAATGTTTACCCGAGTGCGTTTAGACTGTTTAAGTACTGGAACACTTTTACAATTTTGTGAAAACTATTGAAAAATGAGAAAATGCCGCCAAACTAAGCACAGTACAAGTGAAAATGTCGCACAGAATTATGTGCAAATGCGTTTAGAATGTGATTATGCGGGAGCACTTTTTCAATTTTGTGTAAATTAGGCAATTATTTTTTTTTTATTTGAATTAGAAATGTAATGACTATTGTTAATGTAATAATTGATTTAGTGTAATTTAGAGCAGTATTTGACTGAATTTATTTATTGTTTGATTTTATGGATAGTAAACAAATTTATTTTAATTTTAATTAGTAGAACTAAAAAAATAATAGTTTATCTTGATTAAATAACTTTGAAAATAATTATTCGTTATTCATGCATCGTTTTCACATATAAGAATAAAAGTATTTTTATGATAGTGAAAGGAAAGTTCTCGAATAAATGAAAATAATATATTTTTAAACAAAAAATGCATTAAATTGAAAAAAATTAGATACATATTGATGTCAAACACACTTTAGTGCATTTTAAAAAAAAATCCTTATAAAAGAATAAAAACCTAAAGAAGTTTAATTCGTTTCTTGGGCTTCGCCTTTGAACTTTTTTAAGTATTTATTTTTTTACTCGAATTTTTTATTATAAAACTATCAAGTGTGTTACCATTTTACAACCCTGATTAGTTTCTCAAACTTTTTCAATTTTGTGTAAATTAGGCAACTATTTTTTTTTTAAATTGAATTCGAAATGAAATGACTATTGTTAATGTAATAATTGATTTATGATTTACATTTGATTTGCTCAGATATAACAAACAAGATAGCAAACAAAATAATGAAAGTTACAGTATTTGTAATAATATATTTGAAAACGTTTGAGATTTCTCGAATATTTCATTACGGTACGGGAAGTTTCAGCAATTTGCCCTAAGGCACGATGCCATACACCACTAGTTTAGCTTTAATTTGTCTGGGGTATTACCTCTGAACCTTTTTCATGTATCTAAAAAAAAATCTCGTTAAACTAGATAATATTGTCTGTAAAATGAACTACGATAAAGAAAAAAATCTAAAATTACAAAATGACAGCGTTTTTTAAAATAAAGTCGAATTTTACCCAAAATTTTGTTCGTTTTTGGACTGCCAAAATTCGATTTTTGATCCGATCAAAAAATCGATAGTACATTTTACGGAGAACTAGCTGTAAGTGGAATTCTGTCTTGAGGCAATTATGGCATCGTGCCTTAAGGCAAATTGCTGGAACTTCCCGTACCGTAACGAAATGTTCGAGAAATACTGAATGTTTTCAAATAGATTATTATAAATATTGTAACATTATCTAATATTTATAAGAATTATATAAACTGAATTGCAGAGTTGAAATTATTTGTAAAGTATATTAGAACTATAGTCAGAATTAAAAATAAAATCTGAAATATTTCCGATATACACAAAACTAAAAAACTAAAAAAAAAAATAAAATAAAAAAAAAAAATAAAAAAATTGAACGAAATTTTTTTCCAAAATCAATTGTTTTGTTAAGACAAGCAGAAGTTCTTTGAATCATTTAAATCGGACGCTTAGTTCTCTCAAAAACTGCCATTTTTTACATATTTAGCTCCGTATCTTCAAAATGGCTGGGCCTGCCTTTGCCAAAAACTAATAAACACTTCTCCCAATCATTACTAATTGAATGTTTTTTAGTTCATTCAAATCGGATACTCCGTTCTCTCAAAAATTCGATTTCTATTTTCTGCACTCTTTGCTCCGTATCTCCGAAACGGCTGGATCTGCCTTTGCTAAAAACTAATCAGCTCTTTTCTCTATCAATAGGAATCGAATGTTTTTTGAACCATTCAAATCGGTTGATCCGTGCGCCCGAAAACGTGGGCGAAAATTTGTATCCATACATACATACACACACACACACACACACACACACATCCATTTTTTCTGAAGTATGCCAAAACGTTCAGAAACCTTCAAAACGTCGAGAAATGTAAAAAATTTCAATTCCGATTTTCGGCCCATTACAATAACTTACCCTACGGGAAGTTAATATATATAAAACATGTAAAAAAATTCGATAGTGATCGGATCTTTTGTTTTTCATGTATTTTTTTCCCCTAGGTTCCGTGACAAAATAGCAGATCTTTTGAGCATCGATCGCAATAATGTTGATGTCTTCAGTGTCCAAACCAGAAGACACCATCCTGCAATTACTGATATCAGGTTTGCAGCTCGTGCAGAAACCTATTACAAACCTGTCAGGCTAAATGGTATAGTTTTGATGCACCGGGAAGAGATCGAAAGAGATGTCGGTATAAACATCACCATGGTAGGAATTGACGAGTGTTTGTATGAGAACAAAATGTGTGAAGGTTCTTGCACTAATAATTTGGACATCAGCAACTTGCCTTATATGGTAAATGCTAATAAGACTGCTCTGGTTGGTGTTAGGGTTGATGTTTTGGCAGAGTGCACGTGTGGTGCTAGGAACTTTAGTAAACCTGAAAGCTGCAGGTAAGTAATTGACTAGATAACCCTCCTTGTTCAATGGATTTTTTTATTTCAATAATGTTTTTTTAGGACGTCACCTTGTCACAATGGTGGACGTTGCACAGAATCTCGTAGAGGAGCTCATGGGCCAACTTGTTCATGTCCTGCAGGATATACTGGTCCTAGATGTCAACAAACTGCAAGGAGTTTCCGAGGTGGACAAGGATGGGCTTGGTATCCAGCCTTGGAAATGTGTTCAGATTCACATCTTTCTATAGAATTTATTACCAGGTAAACTAGTAGTCAATATAGTTAGATAGAATTAAGGTTAACTAGGTGTAAGTAGCATTTTTCCTTCAGGCAAGTTGTATAAACTTTCTAATACGTGTACATAATCTACTTAAGGGGCACAACTAGTGTGAAATTTTCAAAAAATCGAATTTTCAATTTTTCCATATTACGATAAGTTATACCTTTAATAATAACATACCAAAATTTCAAATCGATATCTTAAATAGTTTTTGAGTTACAGCCAATTAAAGAGTGTATATATAGTATATAGTATAAGGATCATTTAATCTTTAAACGCGTTTTTCTAGAAACAGCATTTTCCGAATTTGCTGTAGCGATTACTCAAAAACAAATGATCTGATCACTATCAATTTTTTTTACATGTTCTATATATAGTTCTCCGTAAAATGAACTATCGATTTTTGATCGGATCAAAAATCGAATTTTGGCAGTCCAAAAACGACCAAAATTTTGGGTACAATTCGAGATGTTTAGTATAATCCAAAAAAACCTGTTCAAAATACATTTATTTAACTGTCCATCCTTTTTTTACATTTTACGAATTTTTCTGATCTGTTAGTTTTTATAAAAACTCAAAAAACATACGATGGAAAAGTGTTAAGTTTTATGTATATATATGTATATATACATATATATATATATATATATATATATATATATATATACGGAACCTGTCCTGGGGTCCTTAGCATGCAACTTTTTTTCTAGCGCCTCTACCTCTATTAATTTCAACTGTTTTAACAGTTTATCATTAAAATTATATAAATATTCACATATTTTTTGAAAATTAATTTTTAATTATTCTGAATTTAGTACGCAAAAAATTAGATATAATCTAAAAGCGTATGAAATACATTAATTTTAAATTTATTTAAAAAATCGAGGCAATACGCGGGTTGATTATAATCAAATATTTTTAAATTTGCAAATATTTTTAATATATGTGCAATATTAATATTTGGGTTTTGAAACATTCTACTTATTTATTATGCGGTTTATTTTATTGAGCAAATCATGCCAAGACAGCTAAAAAACTAGCTTTTCATTTTCAATCATAGCATCCGTATTTTTTAAATTTTAATTTAATTTAATAATAATATTTTCACATAATATTTATTTTCATTTATCTGATTTGTATGTATTGAAATATTCTACATTGTTATTTTGCAAAAATTTTGAACAAACTTTTTTTTATAGTTTTCCCTAAAATTACGCGCAACCTGAAACGACGCTTTGTTTTAGGTTAACGCGCAAGCGCGCGCAAAATCTTGGGAAAATATTATGACAAGATATTTTTGAATCAAACAGTTAAAATTTTGGGAATGCAACTTATTCCAAAACGAAAGAAGATCATTAATAAAAAATTACTTAAAGAAAATGTTATTTTCCCTATCAATGTACAATCATTAGTAGCTAGTAATAATTTAAAAGTTTATAAATATATATTTAATTTTATTAAAAATACAAAAATTAATTTATAAGTTAATGATTCAATAGGAATTTGTAGTAAACAATTGTAAGGATGGCAACTGGCCAATAAATAAATAAAAAAAAAACAGTTAAAATTTAACTAGTGGTATTTGAAGGATCATTATAAATACTGAAACTTTCTTTATTCTTGGTATCTTGTTATATCCATATTAACATTGTGAGCAAATCAAATGTAAATCATAAATCAATTCACCTCTTATTGACCGTCATTACAAAATTGAAAAAGTGCTCCTGAATACTCACAGTCTAAACGCACTTGGGTAAACATTTGTACCAGAGTGGCGCTTAGACTGTGCTTAGTCTGGGTCATTTTTTGAATTTTTATCCAAAATTACAAAAATATTTTATGGAAAATAAAAAAAGATATAATGATTTGTTATTCTCAAAAGCAATTGTTTTGTCAATACAAGCAGAAAGTTTTTTAGATCATTCAAGTCGAACGTTTAGTTCACTCAAAAACTGCCATTTTTTGCACATTTAGCTCTGTATCTTCGAAATGGCGGGACCTGTCTTTGCTAAAAACTAATCACCTCTTCTCCCAATCATTACAAATTGAATGTTTTTTAGATCTCGATTTGTATTTTCTGCACTCTTTGCTCCGTGTCTCCGTAACGGCTAGACTTGCCTTTGCCAAAAACTAATCAACACATCTTTCTATCAATGGGAATCGAATCTTTTTTAAACCATTCAAGAAGTTAATAATTGTAATTTACCCCAGGAAACCCGATGGTGTCCTCCTCTACAACGGCCCTATAGTCCCACCAGAGCCAGAAGAAATCATGGTATCCGATTTCATATCCCTGGAACTGGAACGTGGTTATCCCAGACTTCTGATAGATTTTGGATCAGGAACCCTAGAACTTCGTGTAAAAACCAGGAAAAGTCTGGACGACGGCGAATGGCACAGGATTGACATATTTTGGGACACGGAAAACGTTCGAATGGTCGTCGATCATTGTCGATCTGCTGAGGTTTCGGAGTTGGAGGACGGATCTGCTCCTGAATTTGATGGTGAAACCTGTCAAGCAAGGGGTACTGTCCCTCCGTTTAATGAGTATTTGAATGTTAATGCTCCTTTACAAATCGGTAAGTAGAATTGATACATAAAAGTGACCAAGGCACATGCTAACACTTTTTGTTCCTCAGGTGGTTTGTACATGGAGCAATTCGATCCTACCCATTACAGATGGCAATACATGCCTTCTGGTAAAGGTTTTGATGGTTGTGTACGCAATTTAGTACACAACAGTGTCCTTTACGATTTGGCTCATCCTGGTTTGTCAAGGAATAGTGCTGCAGGTTGTCCTCAAACTGAAGAAGTTTGTGCACAATCTGAAACCACAGCAAGGTTTGTGAAATGATTTATTGATTTGCTGGTGAATTTGTATGCAATGTCTATTATTTTCTTAGATGTTGGGAACATGGTTCCTGTGCTGGTTCCTTCACCGAAGCAAGATGTGTCTGCAGACCTGGCTGGACAGGACCAGCTTGCTCAGTTCCAACCATTCCTACACAATTCAAACAACAAAGTTACGTCAAATACGCCTTAAGTTTTGAACCAGACAGGTCAGTATCAAATTTCTTCCTACCACCATCAAGATTTGGAGTTCAACTTTATTTTTTCTCCAGATTCAGCACAAGAATCCAGCTAAGGTTCCGTACTAGAGAAGAACATGGTGAGTTGTTCAGGGTCAGCGATCAACACAACAGGGAATACGGAATTCTGGAAATCAAGGAATCTCGTCTCCACTTCCGATACAATTTGAATTCTCTGAGAACTGAAGAAAGGGACATCAGGTTGAGCCATGTTGCTGTTGATGATGGCCAATGGCACGTGGTTAGAGTTGCGAGACATGGATCTACTGCTTCTTTGGCTTTGGATGGTGGTGAAGGCAGGAGATATAATGAGACATACAACTTTGAAGGTGACATAATGATGACACTAGCGAATGCAATACCGGTATACCGGTATACCGAATTACCGGTAAACCGTCCGATTTTTCGGCGGTATTTTTACCGGTATTTACCCCAAAAATACCGATATTTTCGGTAATTTTACATAAGCGCTATTTGATACATAATACCCTAAAGTTTAAATTTCTCGGAACAAATTTATCGTTAAATTCCGTAATCGCATAAACAGCTATATCTTCAAGTGATTCTATAGGATAAACAAATGTCAAATATTATCTCAACTCGTCATTAAACTGAATATTTATTGCTTTCCAAAGGGCTTCATATCGTGTTACAATAAATAGAATTGAACTGATAGATAATGATGTTTGTTTTATCTTATGTAAAAATGTAACGGATTTTTAAGTGATATTTGCGCCAAAATATTTTATATCATACAGATTACCTTACGTAATCTTTATTTTTTTCTAACTTTATACCTAATAATTATGATAATTACTAAATATTTTTGCTTCTTATTAAAATTATAAAATACTATTTTTTAAAAAACGTTTCGAAGTTTGAAAATACTATAGAAGCATCACATTGTTTTAAATAACAATACTCAACAAATACAGTAACATATTATTTATCTCGACAAAGTATCCGATCTTAAATTAGTGTAGAAAATTTATTTTTCAAAAATATCGGAGATTATGCTAATTTAACACATCGGATACAGACAATATAGTTTATTATAATAATGTAATATGATCTTTTATGAGTTTTTGGTCTTTCTTACTCATAAGTTTGTTTTTGGTGAAAAGTACTTAATATACTCGATAGTGATAATGAATTAATTAAATTGGATATATTTTTGTTAAATTATTATTTAAAAAAATAAACTTATTATTTTATTTTATTGTTTAGTTGAATATAGTTATAGTTGTATATACATTTTTTTATATTTGTACTAGTAACTTTCAATTTTGTTTACGTTTGTTTAAGATAATAAAAATACCGGTAATTTACCGGTATTCCGGTTTTAAAATAAAAAATTACCGAAATACCGGTATTGAAATTTTCCATCGGTATTGCATTCCGTAGATGAAAATAAATTGATGTGGACTTATTTTGACAAATTTTGGTGTTTTTAGGTCACCAATGGTTGTTGGTCGATAAGCAAGAAGGTGTTTATGCTGGTGGAAAAGCTGAATATACAGGAGTGAGGACTTTTGAAGTTTATGCTGATTATCAAAAAGGTAACAAAGAATGTACTTGTTGTACACCTCTTTAAATATCTCGCTAAACAACAATTTTATCAAAAAATCATTAATAACCTTTGTGTAGCTTTTAAAATTTCTATTCTATTCTATTTCTATTTACTTCCAAGGAATAATGAAAGATCGAATTCAAGGTCGTTTTATTCCAAACTTTTATATCGGGGTGTATATAACTGTTGGCATGGAATCGTAGTAAATTTTATCTAGTTTCTCCCTATCTAACTGAAAGGGGGTGCTTTTCCCTGATATTTGTGAGTTTTTTGACAAAAACCAAAAAAATGTCCCTAAATTTCTATGAATCCTAAAGAATATGAAAGATCGATTTCAAAGTCGTTTTATTCCAAACTTTTATATCGGGGTGTATATAACTGTTGGCATGGAATCGTAGTAAATTGTATCTAGTTTCTCCTCATCTAACTGAAAAGGGGTGCTTTCCCCTGATATTTGTGAGTTTTTTGACAAAAACCAAAAAAATGTTCCTAAATTTCTATTGAATCCTAAAGAATATGAAAGATCGAATTCAAGGTCGTTTTATTCCAAACTTTTATATCGGGGTGTATATAACTGTTGGCATGGAATCGTAGTAAATTGTATCTAGTTTCTCCCTATCTAACTGAAAAGGGGTGCTTTCCCCTGATATTTGTGAGTTTTTTGACAAAAATCCCAAAAAAATGTCCCGAAATTCCTATTAATAAATCTTAAAGAATATGAAAGATCGTTTTCAAAGTCGTTTTTCTCCAAATTTTTATATCGGGGTGTATATAACTGTTGGCATGGAATCGTAGTAAATTGTATCTAGTTTCTCCTTATCTAACTAAAAAGGGGTGCTTTCATATAACATTTGTTTTTTTTTTCAGGTTGTTTAGATGATATCCGTCTAGAAGGCAAACATCTTCCACTTCCTCCGGCCATGAATGGAACCCAATGGGGCCAGGCAACTATGGCCAGAAATTTAGAAAGACAATGTTTGTCTAATAGGCCTTGTCAAAATGTAATTTGTCCTGATCCTTTCGAATGTGTAGATTTGTGGAACGAGTATGAGTGCACGTAAGTAGAAAAATTTTCAAAAAAAATTATATACTTAAATTAAATTCAGTTAAAAATATTAAGTACTAAATTTTAAAAAGATAATGCTTAAAATATGGGTCAAATATTTTAATATATATTTATATATTATTTTAAATATTAAATATTAATTTTATGCACAAATTTTCAATATAATTTACATTTTTTTCTATTAAATTTAATATTTAATTTACCCCAGACCGAGGCACTGTTTTTGTTTGTCTTCCAGAATTTTCGTATTATTTATATATTGTTGTGGTATTTGTATTATTTTATAATTACTATTATATTATAAAAGTATTATTTAATATTATTGTATGAGTATTTAGTATCTTTTGCTTTCTGTTCTGTCTTTTGCTAACAATTTTCTTTTAACAGTATTTTTTGGTATGACTATTATTGTATTATTTTATTCTGTTGTGTATTAGTTATTTAACAATTAATATATTCATACTATATATTTATATGTAAAACTTTATAGGCTATACATCTGTCTTTTGCCGTTTTTAACGAAAATTATTAGTTTTTGAGATATTGATGAAAATATAAGTAAATTTCTTGGGGGTACCTCTTAACGTAAATAGAAGTTACGTTAAAAAGCTAGATATTTAATTAATGATTAAAATAACATGAGGTCGTTAATGTCATATTAAAGAAAATTTTATGGGCAATAATTTAGTGTTACACTGTTTTTCCCAGAAATTATTAGCTTATGAGATATTGATCAAAATGTAAAAAATGTCCTGAGGGTACCTCTTAACGTAAATAGAAGTTACCTAACAGAACTTAATATAT